TCCCTGTGTGAAAAAAGTCTCCTCATAACAGTGTGCGTGTGTAAGGTGTCGGATTAGTTGGTTAGCAGAGTGCTGAAGGCTTGCCACGCGGCCCGGTTCGTGTGCGGCGTCTTACACACAGAACCTTTTATCCTTGCAAACTAATAGGAGATCAGCCAATATCATAATGCCCCTATATAAATCAATGGTGCAACCTCATTTGGAATACTGTGTGCAGTTCTGGTCACCACACCTTAAAAAGGATATTATAGCTTTGGAAAAGTGCAGAAAAGAGCAACTCGAATGATAAAGGGGTTGGAACACTTTCCCTATGAGGAAAGGTTAAGGCGCTTCGGGCTCTTTAGCTTGGAGAAACGACGACTGAGGGGTGACATGATTGAAGTTTATAAGATTATGCATGGGAAAGAGCAGGTTAAGAGGTACTTTTCTCCCTTTCTCACAATACAAGAACTCGTGGGCACTCCATGAAACTGCTGAGCAGTCGGGTTAGAACGGATAAAAGGAAGTCCTTCTTCACCCAAAGAGTGATTGACACGTGGAATTCACTGCCACAGGAAGTGGTGGCGGCCAATGTTCCCTCTAAGCTGTGGAGTCTTGTGAGCAAAAGTTCTACTTTGTGAGCTACTGGCATTAAAGGTGTGAGCAAGCGATTTGGCTACTGCATGAATTCGTTTGCTCTGGAGCCCTCCTTCCTGAGCGAAGGCAAAAATGTGTGAGCCGGAGGCTAAAAAACTGTGAGCTAGCTCACACTAACTCAGCTTAGAGGGAACACTGGTGGCGGCTACAAGCATGGACGGCTTCAAAAGGGAATAAGATAAGCATATGGAGCAGAGGTCCATCAGTGGCTATTAGCCACAAGGTTTAGATAGGGGCTCTGGGGCAAGTGATGCTCTGTCATCTTGGTGCTGGGGGGGGGAGCAACAGTGGGAGGGCTTCTAGTGTCCTGGCCCCACTGCTGGACCTCCTGATGGCCCCTGGTGTTTTTGGCCACTGTGTGACCCAGAGTGTTGGACTGGATGGGCCTTTGGCCTGATCCAACATTGGCATCTCTTATGTTCTTTTGTTCCTTTGATTTCAGGAACTCCATTCTAGACAAGAGATGGTTTTAAGGACTGAGCCAGACTTGGTCTGCGGTCACATGCAATAAACAATCCCGTTTCAATCTACTTTCAATGCACTTTCCAGCTGGCCCCATACTGGGTTAGTTCGGGGTTTCAGGTTCAGTACACACAGGAAAAAAATTCCAGTTTGAAAGGGGATCATTTAATGTGTGTGACCACAGCCAAAGTAAAGGAACCTCCATTGGAACAGGCAATCTACCACTTCCTTGCCGCTTTGGGGCCTGGAAGAAATTTTTCTCCAGGCCGGTTTGGCCAGGGATCCTTAAGGTCTTTGGTCATCTCCTGGGCATGGAACAGCGGTCACTGAGGGTGCGGAGGGGGAAGGTATTTCTGAATTCCCTTCCTTGTGCAGGGGGTTGGACTAGATGACCCTAGAGGTCCCCTTCCAACTCTAGGATTCTATGATTCTATGACCAGTTGCTGGGAAGGGGGAGGGGGTGCACCGTCGCCTTCACACCCAGTTTGGACACTGTGGGAAACAGGATGCTCGACTGGGCGGACTTTGGGGCTGACCCAGCGGGGCTCTTCCTGTGTTCAGCAGAACTGCCAGCGCAGTGTGAAATGTAGAACAATGCCATGCACATTAATAGGCTCGGAAGAAACGGTCTCGATTCCCTTGTTTCTGAGGCATGGGGATTTTGGGTCCGGTTGCAGTTATGCGCAAGAGCGGTCGGGCACAGCTGTGCCTCTTATGGCAAAGAGGCTATCGGAACTAGGGGGAGCAACTCCTGAAATGGGGGAACAGCTGAGATTGCGGAGAGGCCGTGGCTCAGCGGCAGAGCGTCTGCTTGGTATCCAGAAGCTCCCGGGTTCAGTCCCCGGCATCTCTAGTTAAAAAGGATCAGGTGGTGGTAGGTAACGTGAAAGAGCCTCTGCTTGGCATGCAGAAGGTCCCAGGTTCAATCCCCGGCACCTGCAGTTAAATGAACCAGGCAGGAGGTGATGGAAAAGATTTCTGCCTGAGACCCTGGAAAGCGGTTGCCAGTCAGAGTAGGCAATACTGATAGAGCATCTGCTTGGCATTGAGAAGGTCCCAGGTTCAGTCCCTGGCATCTCCAGTTCAAAAGGACCAGGCAGGACGTGGTGGGAAGTATCTCTGCCTGAGACCCAGGAGAGCGGCTGCCAGTCAGAGTAGGCAATACTGATAGAGCATCTGCTTGGCAGGCAGAAGGTCCCCAGGTTCAGTCCCTGGCATCTCCTGTTAAAAAGGACCAGGCAGGAGGTGATGGGAAAGACCTTTCTCCGCCTGAGACCCTGGAGAGCCATAAAGAGGGGCTGTGGCTCAGTGGCAGAGCATCTGCTTGGCATGTAGAAGGTCCCAGGTTCAATCCCCGGCAATCTCTAGTTAAAAGGACCAGGCAGGAGGTGATGGGAAAGACCTCAGCCTGAGACCCTGGAGAGCTGTAGAGAGGGGCCGTGGCTCAGTGGAAGAGCATCTGCTTGGCATGCAGGACGTCCCAGGTTCAATCCCCGGCATCTCCAGTTAAAACAACCAGGCAGGAGGTGATGGGAAAGACCTCAGCCTGAGACCCTGGAGAGCGGCTGCCAGTCTGAGTAGGCAATACTGATAGAGCATCTGCTTGGCATCCAGAAGGTCCCAGGTTCAGTCCCTGGCATCTCCTGTTAAAAAAGACCAGGCAGGAGGGGATGGGAAAGACCTCAGCCTGAGACCCTGGAGAGCGGCTGCCAGTCTGAGTAGGCAATACTGATAGAGCATCTGCTTGGCATCCAGAAGGTCCCAGGTTCAGTCCCTGGCATCTCCAGTTAAAAGGACCAGGCAGGAGGTGATGGGAAAGACCTCAGCCTGAGACCCTGGAGAGCGGCTGCCAGTCTGAATAGACAACGCTGATCCTGATGGATGGATGATCTGATTCAGTATACAGCATCTTCATGTGTACGTGAGCCGGTTTTCCATAGGCATCCCCAAATGTATTTGTATTTATAGGAAAGGCGCTGTGGCTCAGTGGCAGAGCCTCTGCTTGGCATGCAGAAGGCCCCAGGTTCAGTCCCTGGCATCTCCAGTTAAAAGGACCAGGCAGGAGGTGATATGAAAGACCTCTGCCTGAGAC